ATTTTATTGCGAGAAGGTTTTGAGTGATGTTTACTGAATTTTGCAACTGGAACATCATTTAATGTTATATTCGTCATCCACGCAAAAGAACTGAGTTCAATGATGTATCTCTCACCTGCTCTGAAACTTTAGATTTTAACGCAAGTTAGACTCTAGTATGATGGCCAACAAAATGATATATTTCAGGTTAAAATCAAAAGTTTCAGAAAACAGGTGAGAGATACATCATTGGACTCAGTTGTTTTGCTTGGATGACGAATATAACATTAAATGATGTTCCGGTTACGAAATTCAGTAAACATCACTCAAAACCTTCTCGCAATAAAATACGAAATATCCTGCATTTTTTTGTAAACCAATGAAGATGTTATAAATGGACCGGTATGTAGAACTTAAAGAGCTTTCTATCCATCTGTTTATTTGTTTGTGCACTCCTAAGGCGAATCGGAATGGCGCTCTTTAACGCCAGTCTTCGAGTCGAGATATCATTTGAGTTGGCAAGGCGAAAACCGCCCAGAAGCATCTAAAATCAAATGTACATTGTTTGTTATTTTACCCAAAACAAAAATGGGTTAAGTCCTTAGCTTATGCACAGTTGTCCTTTACGACGAGAAATAGTCGACGGCTGCTGATTGGTTCATCCATTGTCAGATTTTGCAATATAAAACAAACATCGTTTGTTGATGATGCAGTTTGTTAAGCATTAATCTATTTGTAAATTGTTCATGTTTTAGGTTAGAAACTCTGAGTTATGGCCAAACATCGATGAGCGATGAATACTGGTCAAAAGCGAAAAGTTTGGAATCAACAAGACAACAACGAATGAATACAATAATAACAAATTAGAACTATTTCAGTCGATTTTTCTACGCTAGTCATTTGTTAGATATATCTGTATATGTGTCTTAAATATTTTTTTGTACTTATACTACATGTAGTTGATATGAATGTTATATTTTTCACTTGTCCTGTCTTTGTTTGTCTAGTTAAACTACAGTTCTCTTGAGTTGAAAAAACAAAATGTTATGAAAGAGAACGTAACTGATTCTTTTCTTTCAAACATGAATGACAATAGTTTGACTATTAAAAATAATTTTTTTCTAAAATAAATTTCATGAGTAAGTCAAATTTATAAATTTGATCGAGTCGGTCTTATCAAGAGTTCAACGATAATCAAGAAAATGCACGTGTGTCTAAGTGTTTGTTTGTTTATTTAATTGCATTTCTTTTCTTAATAATATAAAAATGACTTTAATCATTAAGCATAAGTGCAAAAACTTCTCAGTGAACTGATCTGTGATAGTTTCTTGAGTGATGCAATTTTTTAATGTTCAGGTGGAAAATCTTTTCAAAGTATGCAAATACATGTCTATGCATCGTGAGACTGTTGCTAGATTCTGGACTTTGAGTGCAGTATCCATAATGATTTCTCCAATTCTTCATATATTGTCTTGTTTCTTCTTTCAATGGCCTACAAATGGTACAGAAGCCTTGCGTTTCAAAAATTTCTAACACGGAATGATTTTTACATATCGTTCGTGTTGTCAATAATTAAATTTGAGGCTTTTTTTTGTTTTTAGATAAAAAACCTGCGAGTATTAGCATTATTATACTTACAAGGATTGAAATTTTGAGTGGCAGGCTTTCGTTTAGTACATTTGATGCGTAGAACATATGTGCAGTGTTTTTCAATAGCGATTACTTTTGTTGAGGCGTTGTTAAATAATGAACGCCTTTTTATTGTACTACGAAAAAAAATATGTTCCATCTGAAGATTTTCAACAATATTGTAGGCATATTCAACCAACTATTTTATATCGTTAATATTGTCTTCTGTGACCGTTTCTCACCGATTTTCTTACGAGAAAACCTTTCCAACTATTACCTCACTTTTTCAGCCAAGCCCAGTGGATTATAGGTATTCAATCACGCTGATCCCGAATATCAACATGAGACGGATCCTTAGGCCTTCAGAGACTCATATTCTGGAAAACTAGTTGTTCAGAAACTCTAAAAAATAATCTAAACCTTTCTTAATAAGGCATAATTATAGCCCGCAAATTTCTGATTAAAATGAGACATATCCCACCTCTACACGACCTTTCTTTCCAAAGTTAGAAAATTTACAAGAAAAACCCTAAATGTTCATGGTCAGCTTAAAGCTTCAGAAATAAGAAAAAATTAATTCAGGGTTTTTGTTGTAAATTCTCTAACTTTGCAAAGAAAGGTCATGTAAAGGTGGGAGATATCTCATTTTAATCAGACATTTATGGGCTACAATTATGCTTTATTAAGAAAGGTTTTGGTTACCTTTTAGAGTTTCTGAAAAAGTAGTTTTCCAGAAAACGGTCTCTGAAGGCCTAAGGATCCGTCTTATATTGATATTCGGATTCAGCACGGTCGATAATCTATAACCCACTAGGCTCGAAAGGTTCCCTCGTCAGATCATTATCATATAATGTTCATTTTTATAATATCGAGCAATTAAATTAAGGCAGATCATTGAAAGTTCAATTGATATCTCATTTTCTCTGAAATCTCGATATGATCTCCAGAAATATTTGAAAGGAATATCTGGTAAACTTGACTATAATATATTCTACAACCTTGATCTTTTTGATTGGTACTTTTATCACCAGTACCATTTTGATGAACTGAAGATCTATGCAAAAGCCTGATTTATAGGGACGACTTGCGAATAGAAAGCGTATTTATTTCAGTTAAAGAAACAAATGGTAACAGCTTGAAAAAAAGTTTTTCTGATATATTGACTAGTGAACATCGTTCTTTTATCAATTCTCATTTCCGTATCGTATGTTGCATCAGGTACGTGTACCTTAAAAATCTGTGGTTTTTGTTCATTAACTAAACACTTCAATAAAAGCTGTATATTATCTCTCATTTTGTAGATAAAATGAGTGATGAAAAAGCGTCGCATCGTTATTCATCATCAACTTCATTGAATAATACGACATCTGTTCCTTCAAATTCGTTATCAGCCGCAGCGAACGGTTCTTCACAACAATCATCAGCTCCTACAGTTAAATCGAATCAAAAAGATTTAAAACCAAATTATCAAATAAAATTTACATTATCTGGTCATTTAAAAGCGATTTCCTCACTAAAATTTAGTCTAAATGGGGAATGGTTGGCATCGGCATCAGCTGATAAAACAATAAAGATTTGGGGAGCATTTGATGGAAAATGTGAAAAAACAATTAGTGGACATAAATTGGGTATATCAGATTTAGCATGGTCATTCGATAATAGGTAAGCACATGATTTAAAATTGAAAGAAAACCTCTGCATTTATACTGTTTTCGAATGATAGGTTGCTCGTTAGTGCATCGGATGATAAATCCCTTAAAATTTGGGATGTTACGCGTGGAAAATGTTTGAAAACATTGAAAGGACATACAAATTATGTATTTTGCTGTGATTTTAATCCACAATCAAATTTAATTGTCAGCGGATCATTTGATGAATCTGTCAAAATATGGGATGTTCGATCATCAAAGTGTTTAAGAACATTACCAGCTCATAGGTACGAATTCTTTATACTCTAATCTGATCTATCACATATTTTTTGATTGTTTATCATAGTGATCCAGTGACAGCCGTCCATTTTAGGTAAGAATTTTGTTTATTTAATTTTTTTGTTAATTTTTTGCCATTCTATTCTGTATTTAGTCGTGATGGTACAATGATTGTTTCAAGTTCATACGATGGTCTATGTCGTATATGGGATACATCAAGTGGGATGTGTTTGAAAACTCTCATTGACGATGATAATCCCCCAGTGAGTTTTGTTAAATTTTCACCCAATGGTAAATATATATTGGCTGCTACATTGGATAATACATTGAAGTTATGGGATTATTCAAAAGGAAAATCTTTAAAACTATATACAGGTCATAAAAATGAAAAATATTGTATATTTGCGAATTTTTCTGTGACGGGTGGAAAATGGATTGTATGTGGATCAGAAGATAATTATGTTTACTTATGGAATTTACAAACAAAAGAAATTGTACAAAAATTAGAGGGTCATACGGATGTTGTAATGTGTTGTGCATGTCATCCTAAAGAGAATATTATTGCGAGTGGTGCATTAGAAAATGATAAAACAATTAAAATATGGAAATCGAATGTCTAAATATTTTTATTAATCATTTCTTGTATGCATACGTATGCATATCTATATATATATGTAGATTTATTTTTTTGTTGGTTTTATTAATATAAAAATTTGATGAAGTTCCGGAAAAGTCACAAATTTTAGTTGTATAATATGTAACAGGGATCTTAGAAAAGATGCCGATCCATAAATAAAACGAAAATCTTTTTTTATCGATTTAAGCGGCAATAACTGTGGTAAACACTTGAAAAGTTATATTACTCAAATTAAAATCTAAGATTATTCTTTTTAAAATTGTTAGAAAAATGTTCAGAGAAAGATTCATTCGTGTTATGGCATTTCAAGAAAATAAAAAGCTCTCATCACGTTCCTACAGCGATGTTTAGTTTATATCGATGACTTGTCATATGTCATTCTTCCACTTAGCGCCATCTGTAGGAGTAGAGATCGATATTGTCTCATTTGTTTCAGATACAAATCCAATTACCCCATATCACTTAACTTGAGTTTTTTTCCTACTTTTTACTAAAGAATGTATTTTGCAATTAGTTGCATCTAACTTATGCAATAGAGGAGGTACTCGTAGCAACTAAATAATGGATGGTCGATCTGTCATTTTACAAGGCTATAAAGGGATGAGTAAATTACTTACAATTAGCTTAGATGTAGGAATATACCAGATCTGTGACCTCGCCAAGTCACATAGATATCAAAGATCACATAGATATTCAAGTTCTAGCGATTCATTATGTCAAACTTAATCAGCTGTCTACTCTACCGGAAACTAGCGCTAGAACTGGTTAGATTGAGCAGAAAGGCACCAGAAAGACTTCGTAATGCTTGAGGACACAGCCTATTTCCGCATTTTTTAACCAGCTTGGTACTTTTGTGCTCTTATTTGATCAGTTCTAGAACTAGTTTCGGCTGGATATTATAGTTTCCCATGTCCTCAAAAACGAAAAAGTATCATTCGGTTTCCGTTCAGTACCCCATGCACTATATCGGTAGCAAAATCGAAATCAACGCACGGTTATCGATATACCGTCGGCATAACCAGCGGTATTGTCCAGTATCTTGTCACTATGAGCACACAGAACAGGAATTCGAAACTAATTTTCAATTTTATTTTTCTAATTGTTGAGCAAGTAAGCCCAGACGGGCTCCCAACTGGGAGAAATATGACACGAGTCGAAGTTCAAACTTCGACGAGTTTCTATAATTTAAAAGAAAAGTTTAATCTCAAAAAGAAATCAAGTTTCTCGAATTTTTCTGTGTTTCTGTTAAGACACTCCAAATTTGAACGTCGAACACTGTTTTATTTTTACTTCAATATGTATCATTCGATAGAGAATTTCATGCTGATTAAGAATATGTTACTTTGAATTTTTTTAATTCGTGTTATCACCGAAAAATACTGAGAGGGATTCTCTTTTCGAAAAGCCGTTGACTTTTTTTAAAAATGGTATAACTCCATTCCAAATGAATTTGGAGCTTCGCAAAGGTATTTTTCTTGATCAGCGTCTAAAACTGCATCTAGAAAAGTATATTTGAGGGTTCTAGATGAAGCAATAACTTCTGGACACATCGCTTTTCATCTGCACCTTTTGTTAGACGATACTCATCTTGCAAGGCACGTGCAGCCTTTTGGTTAAGAGGTAGGGATAAGTTTTATAAGCCATTCGCTTCATCGTTCAATTTAGAACAAAAGTATAAAACGGTTTTTTCGAATTATTTTTCGTTCCTGGGAAAGTACATCTGCACAAGTTCTTTAAAGATTTTGCGTCTTGAAAATTCTTGACAAAGTACTTGATTAAGATGCATTTGTCTCTGAGTCTGAGATATCTTATGAATTTTGTCTAGGGTGACATGTTCCATCTACTTTTATCTTCGTCTTAATGTTTGAGACGTTTAATAAATCCACTGAAAGATTAGTTATTACACTCTAAACGAAAAGGTATTTCAAAAATCGTAATGCTTCATTAACCCTTATAATAAATCCAAAAAAATTCGTTAGCCGTAGTTACTAAACCCTAAGATTTAGTGAACAAGGAGTTCCTTAAGGTAGAAAGAGTATTTTAAAAATAGAAGGGGTTTATTACTACGTTTACTAAACACTAAAAGTTTATCATTCTGCTCAGACAACTTATCGAGTTACTAAACCCATAGAATATTTTAACAAGCCAGTATGGTTTATTATAATAACGTTGAGAGGCTTTTTAGAAAAGCAAAGGTTTTTCAGCGAAATTGAAAAACTCTTTTAAGATTAGTAAAAAACCCTAAAGATATGATAACTCTCCCAGCGTGCACTTCTAGGCACCAGAAATGTTTTTCTCAAAAAAACTCGGACATTTTCCACCCTTTAGTTCTCAACGAGACGCATATCACGTCTCTTTTCTTCTCCACCGTTGTTCGCATTCAGTATATAACAATGATCTCAACAGACATCATTAGATCTAATAAACTCTTGATGATGGGTTTCTTAAAATGAAAACCATCATACAAAAAAGAATTTAGTAGCCAAAAAGGGGTTGCCCGACATGCTAAATCCTCGTTTACTAAACTTTCAAGGATTCTGCATGATGATACTCTTCCAAACCCCCATAAAGGTTTATTAAAATACCTTTTTTTAGAGTGTAAAAATTTTTCACAAGGAATATAGCCTTTTCTACATAATGTTTATAGTTAAGTAAAGTGCAGTGTGATTGAACGATCTGACTTTGTTTTAGTTTTTCAGAAGCAATGACCACATTAACCGCGCACCATTCACAAGCCAACGATGGTTATTGTCGCTTTGCAAACGATGAAGCTATCTGTACGGACTATTTAAGAGAAGTACGACGATCAAAGTGAGTATTTGAATTAAAAGGAAAAAAACTACAATAGAGATCAGGGCGCTATTTGAGCCATGCGCAGCTTCTTGTGATTAAGAAGACAAATTTATTGTATTTATTAAAAGATAACCCAATACTCAATGTAACATAATTTCACTTGGTTTTCGACATTATGTTCAACATAGTTGTCGTCGCTAAAAACAATATTTCTTAACTTTCATAGTAAAAATTCCTTGTTCATTCTCAAATTTAATTCAAAATCGTTCTTTGCAAACTTTCATCACACAGTCTAGTTTTTTTCCATTTAGGGAAAATGGTATTTATCGTATAAATTTGGATCCATCGTCATCAAATAATAATAGTACACGTCAAAAAGCAATGTCTCCTTACCTTCAAAAATTACCTCATTCTAATTTACTTCAACAAATTCTTCCACCTTCATCATTATTAACAATCGGTTCTTCACGTTTTTCTGATTCAATTTCAGCCATTCTTGATTTGTACATGACAATCATGTTTTGACACTCTTCTATCTTGTTATTCAACGTCTAAATATGAACAAATGCACAACACAGTTAGAAATTGAATTAATTACGAAAAAAAAAGAAGTTTGTTGTTTATCTATTTACTTGATCAAACTCGTTTAATTCATCCATTGTCATTGAAAATACACTTTTATCTTTAGGATTATTTGTACCAACCGGCTGATAATTGTTGGATTCATCAACTTCCGTTCCATTTTTTGTCATAGCATCAAGATCTTCCACTACCATTGACTGATTTAATTTTCGTTGATTTTTATTTTTTTGAATAAGATGTACCTAAACAATTCAGTCTTTCTTTTTTCATCATTTTATCACAGATTTTTCTTTTTTCCTACTTTTTACTAAAGAATGTATTTTGCAATTAGTTGCATCTAACTTATGCAATAGAGGAGGTACTCGTAGCAACTAAATAATGGATGGTCGATCTGTCATTTTACAAGGCTATAAAGGG